AATACTTATTTGATTTTTCTTTCTCACAAACACCTCTGCCGTGGATAATAGCATCAATCCCACTTCAAAGGAGAAGACTACTGCTTCAGTGATTCACTCAGGGTCAAAGCAGGAGAAACTGTCAGTTGTCCACCAAAATACACTCTCCCTTTGTTTTAGGGAAGATGGTTTTTCTCCCAGATTACATTTTCTGTCCTCACTTGCAGTTAAGTGTGGGCATGCGATGGAGCTCTTGCCAATGGAACACGAGTGCAAGAGATGTGTGCCGTTTCCAGCCCAGGGCCTCAGGATGGGCATATCTCTCCCACCAGCTGGAACCGACAGCCTGCAGCAAGCAAGATTGACCAAGCAGACAACAGCAATGCACCACTCAATTAAGGAGCAAAACAAGCCACTTCACTTAAGTTCAAATTAAGAATTATTTACAGTGCCTACCATATGCCAAGCACTATTCTAGATGTTCAGAGTACATCAACCGAATGAAACAGATGAAGAGCCTTTCCTTTGTGCAGCTTTTATCCAGTGTGGATATGCAAGCAGCAAAACAGGCAGGACCGCCCATTAGTAAGTTACCAAGTGTGATAGACAAAGAAAGGTGCTGTGGAAAGAAACAAACAGAGATGCAAAGTGGGAATGGGCGGTGCCGGTGGGGTTGGGGTACAAAGTCTTTTCAAACCAATCACAGCAGACACACATATCAAACAACTGATACATAGGCACTGAAGATCAGCTCTGCTGGTAGACCATATTAAATATGTATGTTTTTTACTTTTCTCTAAACATAAGAGGTGGTGGCAATTTAGAAGGATCCATTGACTATAATCACTGAGCGATCCTAGGGTTCTAAAACCTCTACATGGTGTATGCTTGGCTTAGGTCAAATAATTCATTGTGACTTCTAAAAATGCCTAAACAAATGAACAAGCTCTTATTTCCCATAAACTCTCCCCTTCCCGCAACTATGTGAGCTTTCGGGGTGATGGTCCTTTGGGGTACCGTTAATCCGACTTTACCTCTTAAAACAAGGCCATGCTCTTCAAAGTGTTTGGGGCCAGGTAGTCCTTCTCTAGAAGCTATAATTCCATCTCTGTGCTGGACATGCTATATAGCCGACTCTCTGAGGAGAGAGGTAAGCTGCCGTTATAAAACATGCACACATATAATGATTTAGATAATACCATGTTTATTTTTCACATATATAACATTCTGAGGGAGTAAGTCCAGGCCAGCTGGGCTGCTGGGGTGCAGGCCATTATTTGGAGACCCAGACTTGCGTTGTGTAGGCCACACTCATGTGTGTAACCATAGCTAACTGGATCTTTTTAAGGTTAAGTTTAGACTCAGGACAGAGTCTTTTCTGAATGATTGGTGCCTGTGTTTTAGTGATTGTTATATATTTTGGGTATTATTCCCACTTCTAAGGCCCTGTATAATATGACCAGGTCTGTCTTTTCAGCTTGATCTGGTGTAAGCACTGCTGGCCTCTTCTTCTCCTGTCTATATTCCTCAATTACACCTGCATTCTTTTGGTTTGGGAACTCACCATGATCTTCCTTGCTTACATCTTTCTGTCCGTCTAGCATTACATCTTTGTGATCCACCTCTTTGCATATCTAACTCCTACTTCTCCTGTGGACTAAAATGAGAGGCTAGTTCCTTGGGAAATCATCTGTGGCTCCATATTACTTCCTTCCTCTCAAACTAGGCTGAGTTCAGTCTTTTCTGAGAAACAGTAAGCTTCCTAAGGGCAGGAGCTATTTCTGTCATGTTCACTGTTTTACTGTTATATCCTTAACACGTTGAATTGCACAGACAATTCCTATAGGAGATTCTCAGCAAGTATTTGTTGAATGAATGAATGAATGAGCAAGAATGTTCCATTATCAGAAGTATTCTCATAATATTTACACCTAATTTCTAAGATAATTGACTTTTATTTGGCTTCTACATAACCGACAAAAATCACATCACTTGAATCAGCATTTGATGAATATCTAACATTTGCCAAGCATTGAGCAATGTGTTGAGAAAGAAACAGCAATGAATAAGGTGGGATCCATTCTTCTCAGAAGCACCAATTTAGGCATTTTGGAGCCTTCCTGGAAGGCTAGGAAATGTATATTATAAAATCCATACCAGTATATACTAGGAAATGTATATTATAAAATCCATACCAATATATAGTTAGTAAAATAAAAATTTCTGAAATGGACACTTAGGGTTTGTTATCCTGATTTTGAAGAATGGATACGCCTCAGTTAAATCTCTGACTTGGATTTAATTTTCTACTTTTGTTTGGTTTTCAGGTATGCATCTTGTTAACAGAGAGTGAAAATGGCTGAGTTTTGGTTCTCCCCATAGGTGTAATGGTAACAGAGGAAGAGGCAGCTTAACATGATAAGATGCACAGAGCCAAAGTAAATGGCCTGCTTGAAAGATCTTTGCCTCCTGGATCACTTTTCACATCTGCACAATTATTAGATGAGACTAGATGAGCTGGAAGGTCTCATGCGAACAGTCTTGCTTTCGATGACTCTTAGTGCCCAGCGCACAGGGAGGTTGAATTTACGACACTGCTTGCAGTGGGTTCTAGATTGTTTATCCAAAAGCTAGGCTGTGTGTTTGAGAATGCATTGTATGATATTGGAACTGGAAGTCACGTGCAGGCTATAAAATCTCCAATTAGAATCAGAACATTTCCATATCCAGCAGGAAGATTGTCGAGATGAAATCAAACTTTCATTTGTAATTAAATCCAGTAGCTCCTGTACATACAGATTTATGTAAATAATAAATTACAGAATTATTACTTTTCTTAATTTTAGAGAATCCCGACCTATGCTTGAAATATAGGCCCATCATTTTAAATAAGAAATCCTGCAATGCTATCGCCAACCTCAACAGTAGCACAAATTAAAATTAGCTGCCTCAAACAGGGGTTAATATCTTTAACTTAAAATGCATGTGAACCCCTAACACTATAAAGCTTAAAGAAGATTGCTATTAATTCATAGTTTTTTTTCCTCTCTCTCTTTTTTTTTAAAGTAGTCGGGTGGGTTTGTTTTTTTTTTTTCTTTTTTTGGTCTTTGGTTTTTGTTTTTTTGGGTTTTTTGTTTTGTGTTTTTTGTTTTTTGTTTTAGCTTATGCTCTCTCCCTCACTTTTGTTCTACATCTTTTGTCTCATTTTGTTTCATCGTGCATCTGTTTTTCAGTTTCTTGCTCTGGTGACAAATTTTAATTTATATTTATTTTTTATTTCCAGAGTATTTATTCTATTTGTACCCACTGACTCCCAGGCCAGGATGGTGATTGTTATACAGTAGTTTACTTTTAAAAGAAATAAGACTGCTCAAGCAGCTAATACGGGAAGATGTATCACCAGCCTGAATAATTGTGACAACCATAGACCGTATCAGTGTCTGTTTGTTTGCACAATACCCTCCTGCATTAAGAAAGCCGTCCCAGCTGTCTTGGGCTCCAGAGCCACCCATTTCATCACTTGACACTGCGGCAGATGTTATGGATTGATAACAGACTTCACTTCATTCACTCCACATCTAAGATTACCTCTGGAAAAAAAAAAAAAAAACTAATACATTATAACCCTCCCAGCCATTTGTTAAAAAAAAAAAGAAAAGAAAAAAAAGATCAGCAATTTATTCCCCCTTTTTAGCATTAAATTGTGTTTTTTTTTTTCTCTTTGAATGCACATACTATTTAAAAATGGCCATTTAACACATTCATCGCATGGTTTTCTGTAGGCAGGAATATCAGTGGAGATGAGAATGTAATGATTTAATTGAATTAGGACCAGATCAGATTTAGGGTTGATGACTCACATTCCCATTATATGAGGAAGACGCTCTTTGCCTTTAATGATAGAGATATGTGCTGCATTCACAGGTTTGTTAGAAAGAAGTGCTTCTTGGTTTCTGGGAAACTGAAAAAAAAGAGTTCAGTCTGGGATTGAAAAGGAGGTATAAAATCTGTATTAAGTTGAACAGATTTCTTCGCTAAGCAGCAGATTCTCCTCTTTAGTTTGGGAAATTTAAGGATTTCTGTAAACGTAACACAAATAGGATTGACCATTGCTTAAAGATCCCTCAATGAAACAGATGGAAAAGTGGGCATTTCCTACACTCAAAGAGATTTTATGGAAAAATGTGGATAAAAATAAATAAAAAACGTACAGTGGGCCTTTTTCTTAGATGTGAAAATGCTTTGTGCACGAACAGTGTGATTTTATTGTTCAGGTTGCAGAATAGCATGGGATTAAAGTGCATTTAGAAATTAAGTGTGGCGGGAGAGGGTATGCAGATCAAGAATGCCGCGTTGACTCCCAGTCTTGAACTGGCATGTGGAGCTTCAGGTCTGCACTGTACATTCAGGTGGTGTCACTGTTTTATTACCTCTCTTTCTACCCTAAAATTAGCTCCTCAGGGGCCACTGTGAGTGTGCAGATCCAGCCTGTACCCATATACCACCGCCCATAGGCAAGGTCAACAAATCCAGAAGCAGACAGAGGTGCTCAGAGCATGGCAGCCCCAGAAGAGCAGGGATGGAGAGTGGACACCATATGACGGAGGGCTTCCCTTAGCATGATCATTCCTGGGCGCCTGGGTGGCTCAGTTGGTTAAGCATCTGCCTTCAGCTCAGGTCATGATCTCAGGGTCCTGGGATTGAGCCCTGCATCGGGCTCCCTGCTCAACAGGGAGTCTGCTTCTCCCTCTCCCTCTGCCCTCCCCCTTGCTCGTGCTTGCTCTCTTTCTCTCAAATAAATAAATAAAAAATCTTAAAAAAAAAAAAAAGAAGAATGATCATTCCTTTTCCTGCTCAGGTGTGTAGCATTTTAAAGTTCACAAAGGTCTTCTGTGTTTATTATGTCATTTTTGTTTGGATCCTTCAGAACACGAGAATGATGCACACAGGGCAGGTATCAACCTCTCTTCAATGGGGAGAAACTGAGTCTCAGAGAGATTGGAAGACCAGTATAAGGTCTCTCAGCTGGTCAATGACAGTGCCAGCCCACGTCTTCCAGGGCCGATCGTGCGCGTTCCTTCTCCATTCTGGCGGGCTGTGAGAATGACAAACATTGTTTAAACAAAATGCATTCACTACATCTCCCATTCTCCTGAGACTGGGATGAGGAACAAAGAACAGTTGCCCTGGTTGCTCTGTCTTTCTCCCTTGTCTCGCTGAGGCTGTCAGACATTGGCTGGGCTGATGGCAGTTCAGAGGCTGGGGCAGTCAATCGGAAGAAGGGACGTCTGCAAGCCCAGTTAGATGACAACCATGAGGTTCATGCACCACGTCAGTCTAAGCCGATGCAAGAGATTTTTGTGCTGGCAGCTGAGTTTGGAATCCACACTCAACATAAAACATTAAACCATTAGTTAGAGGAGACTGGTCCTGGGAGTCTGAATGCGTGCAGGACGGATGAGCTTTCTGTTTATCTTGTTGATGTTGAATCTCTGAGTTGATTCAACTCATGATGTTGAATCATGAGTTCTGAACCTCATGTTGATGGGCTGGGAGATACATTCCGCTGGTCAGGCCAGCCATCAGGTCTCCTAAAAGACGGATTATTTTAAATCTAGAAATACACAGCCTAGCCTTGCTGGGAGTATTTCCAATTTCAAGGACGGCACTGGAGAAGAGTTGATCCCTGACATGAGAATCCCACAGAACAGCATAGGAACTGAGGAGGCAGATCGCCCACAGCTTTGATTCTGAGAGTGCTGATCTCCTGGATGAGAGAATAGGAGATAGAAACAGTGGGACCACAAATGGTTCTCTTCAGAGCAGCCCAGGTCAAGTGCAGAGTCTTCCCAGCTCTCGGGCTGAAGGAACTGGCAAGAGCCACGTAAATTCCAGGCTTCCCACCAAGTCATGGACTGAATACTATGTCCTCCAAAATTCATATGTTGAACCCCCAGCCCCCAATGCAATGATATTAGTAGGTGGGGCCTCAAGGAGCTAATTCAAGTTAATTGAGGTCATGCGGGTGTGGCCCTTAAGATGGGTTTGGTGCCTTTAAAAGAGTTCCAAGGTTGCTGGCTTTCTCTGCGTGCTGTTGGCCATGTGAGGATACAAGGAGAAGCTCCCAGTCTGCACCACAGAAGAGGGCCTTCCCCAGAACCTCCCTGGTCCAGGAGTTCCAGCCTCCAGAGCTGGGAGAAAGAAATGTCTGCCGTTCATAAGCCACGCAGTTTCTGTTAGAGCCGCCTGAACAAAGTAGGACCGCAGTCTAGGCTTTCACAATCCTACAGCCAGGAAGAAGCTGGCAAGCCAAGTGGGAACATATACAGACGTAAAGTTGTCCAAAAGGAGGCAGCCCTGTGATCAGTTAGGGGAATCAGTGACCTCTCAGGATGTAGATTCCCAGCACGAGCCCCATTTATGGAAACCAGGTTTACTAGGATCCTGCAACCAGTAGGGGCAGGAATCACGATGTGCTCCCAGTTGGGGTAAGGTCACTTTAGAAATCAGAGAAGACTCATAATAAAAGTGGCAAGCATCAAGCTGATCCAAGGCTCTCTACCCTACAAACATAGTAGGAATCCTAGCATTTGTGCATTGCAAGCCAGAAAATATTTGCCGCCACATATCGTCACTTCTGAATGACCAATGCTCTCACATTTTAACATCTTTGAAATGAGAGTACCTCTCAGAATTTCTAACTAGTGGTGTTTCTACTTTCTTTAATAACAAAACAGAATTGTGCTTGTTGCAATAGAAGGTGTCTAAAATGTGATCAAGTGATTGTCAGGTGTCTGCTATTAAGTAAGTAACAAAAGAGAAAAGAAATGAAGAAGAGAAAGAAAGAAAGGAAGAAAAGAAAGAGAAAAACAAAGAAGGAAGGGAGGGAGGGAGGAAAGAGAAAGAAAGAAAAAGAAAGAAAGAAAAAAGAAAGAAAGAAAGAAAGAAAGAAAGAAAGAAAGAAAGAAAGAAAGAAAGAAAGAAAAAAAGAAAGGAGAAAAGACAAGAAAAAAGACGAAAAACAACAACAAAAACACCTCAAGTGAAATACCTAGATCCAGTAGAAAAGAATCAAGGACCTCTAATGACAATGGGTCAAAAAGGGATACCCTTTTTATCACCTTCGGGTGATAATCAAATACAAATAAAAGGATTTTGCTAAAAGAATAATGCAGTATTTGAGTAAGATGGATACTTATAAATTGTCTCTCAATCTATAATTTGTACCCTTAAGATTATTAGCATTGAAAAGCACATTTTCATTTCAATTATGCACAATGGAGGAAGGATACAAACTGGAGAGTGAGGGCAGACTAGAGACCCAGAGTGCTGGTGTTCATAGGAGAAGTATTTTAATCCGTTGACTATGAAGGTGGGCGGGAGCTCAAGAGACATCACAGACACATTCTGTTTGAATATATCCTTATGTTAAGGGAAACTCAGCATGAAAACTTGTATTTGTTTTCTGTCTGCTTCAGATGGCTTTTCTACTTTATAAAATTATGCGTGTTCCTGAAAAGTCCTATGCCACATCGATAAAATTTTAAAGACTGTGAGATTTAATAAGGCCTAGGCAGATCTCTTTTGTAAAATGAGTAAATGCTCTCTGTTTATCTATCCTATAAATTTGAGTTGCCAAGCTGATACATACCTACACTTAAAATGGTAATGATGGTGATGATATAAAACCACTAATTAGCTCTAGGCCTGTGATCAGTCTTGTATAGAACATATTCAAAGATAAAACCCTTGGCCTTAAGGAGTTTGCATTGTAAGACAGAGATAAAATAGAGCGAGAGTTTGCACTCTCTCAAGATACCAGATCTGGAATGACTTGGAGATGAAAGTGAAAATGTTTTCTGGGTTGGCTTGAGAGGAAGGCAGTCATATTTTCCTTTTGTGTCATGAAAATCTAATGTTTAATCCTCCCAACTAAGTTCTAAGGTTTCCCATGCTCTTCTTAGGAACATTGTGATCTTTTCTTTCCTGGTCCCTTGCCAGTGAATGAACAGTGACAGCAAAGAGGGCTTCCCTCTCTGGGATTTTAGGGCTACCTACAAAGTCTCTGGTCCCTTTAGGGAGTGGCCTCATCTTCCCAACATATGAGTTGTGTCTTGTCCTGAGCGTGACACCATGATCATCCTGATTGCTGAAGAACTATAGGGGGAATATGCAGGTGGACTGAATTATTCTCGTTGCTTTTGGTTTTGTTTTTTTCCTTGGGAGAAGGCAGACGCTTGCTCTAGGAGAAACTGGGAGCTAAGGATCCTCATTTCCATATTATAGCCCAGAGGAAATGTTTTTCCATTTACTTCCTCCTCGATGTACACAGATCAAAACTGTTACGCTTTCTACTACTTGATATCATTCCACTATGTGAATGACCTGACCTATACGGGTGTGAGGGAGTTGAGAAAAATGCATAGACAAAGGAAAATTACAACCCTAGTTAAGGGTCTCCGTGACCTAAGGTGGCTAGTAGATCCAACTGGGTTGAAATGAAGAGTCAAATGGCAACTTTGACAATAAAGAAAATGTAATAAAAGTGATCAGGTGGATGCATTTAGTCCCTCCTCTCCCCCTGCACACAAGTACTTCTTGGAAAAGTAAAGAGACATTTTCAAGTTTAAAAAGTCAGTAGAGAAACGGAGGGGGACAAAAAAGATGTCTGTCAAGTTACAAGATAAAGTAAAATAAATCTTCACAACACAAAGCAAACACACAAGAGGCAAAAGAGATGGGGAGCATAAGGAAAAGAAAGTAATTTGGAAGAGAGGTCCAGGAAGTGCAGCACAGGAGTGAAGGGCCCATAAAGAAAAGCAAGTAAAATGGTACAATCCAAGTTCTAATATGGTAATATGCCTTTAGCAAAAAAAAAAGAAAGAAAAAAAATCAGAACTAAAAGCATGGAAACAGCACAAATATCCATTGTAGGAGAGTAGTGAACAACCTGAGATGTTCACTAAATTGAAACATCATTCAACAATCAGAATAAATGAACTAAAGAAACACAATAATTTACATAACAGAAGCAATATAAGCTACAGATCTCTACATCATATGACATCCTTTTTATAAATTTAGAAAGACATAAACCTTTAAATACATATATTTGAAATAATGTATATTGATACAATAAAAGTTTATAAAAAGGAGGGCAAGAAAAAAAGAACACAGACTCAAGACCATGCTGCCTTGGGTGGGGAGAAGCAGGGAGATGGGTTGATAGGAGAACAATGTCACTAAATACACATTAGTGCCAAGATCTTAGCTTTTATTTTTCATAGTAGTTTTGCAAGTTCTTCTTGCTTTGTTATTTTTTTTTAAATAGACAATGTCAGTATGCCAAGAAGCAAAGATAAAAATTAAGCCACTTTTTTGCAACCAAAGTCTCGTTCCCCCCAAATTTTAATTTTTAAAAGATTTTTAAAAGATTTTATTTATTTATTTGCGAGAAAGAGAGTGAGAGCAGAGGGGGAGAGTGAGAGAGAGAAGCAGACTACCTGCCGAGCAGGGAGCCCGATGCAGGGCTCATTCCCAGGACCCTGAGATCATGACCTGAACCGAAGGCAGATGCTTGACCAACCGAGCCACCCAGACACCCCTCCCCCCAAATTTTTAAGTAAGAATTGGAATAGATTATATTAGCAAATGTAAATGAAAAAAGACATAGGGATTGGCAGAATATGAAAAGTCAGGAAATAGAATCCATGCTCAGAAGCATTAAAAAGGACCAAGAAGACAATCACATATGATAATTACCACCACTCACCATGACAATGGAATCATAAACTTTTGTGCACCAAACAACAAAGGAAAATACACATGGAAAGTAATCCTAAAGACTGATGGAGAATTTAACTATAAAAGTATAGAGGAAGATGGCAATGTTTTTCTTTTCAAATGAACGAATTAAAAAAATGAGACAGAAGATTTAAATAATACTACTAACAAGCTCAACATAATAAATAATTACATAGAATAATGTAACAAGCAAAGAAAGAATATTTTTTCCTTACGGCAAATGGAAGATTTGCAAGAATTGCTCATGTACTTAGGCTCCAAGAAAACTTCAATAAATTCCACAAAGTAGAG